TCTGTGTGTGTGTGTGTGTGTGTGTGTGTGTGTGTGTGTGTGTGTGTGTGTGAAGGCGTGTGACGCTAAGCCCGGGGAGAGTTCTCAGAATATTCCACCCTAAAATCCACTGGCAACCTACATTCTTTCGTTCTCTCAGCTTATCGAATCATTAGGACAGTGGCATCGAAAAACACCATCTGCTGAAAACCCCACTCCACGTCACCTTCTCTCCTTCCCACCCTCCCTCCCTCTCCTTTCCTCTGCCTCTTTTCCTGAGCGTGCGGCACTCAGTCAGTCTCCCTCTCTCCAATCCACTGAGGCTGCCACCAGTCTCCTTCCACTTGCACTGTTGCACACAGTAGTTGTCGGTATGCTACTACCGGTAGGCCGCAATGGTGGTCCGCGGAGGCCGCAAGCGTTCAGTTCTTCACAACTTCAGGCACAGAGTCTCCCAACCACCCTCGCCATAGTTGGCTATTGTACTACCGGTAGCTCGCAATGGTTGGCTATGGTACTACCGGTAGGTCGCAATGGTTGGCTATGGTACTACCGGTAGGTCGTAATGGTTGGCTATGGCGAGGGGCTTTCTTTCTTGTGATCCGCGACAAGTCGATCCCTGCCCAACAGGCCCAACACAACAATCACACTGCTGCTTGCGACCGAGAGAGCGAGAGAGCGACAGAGGCCTATTAGCGCCACCACCTTACCCACCAGGACTGGACAGAAGTTGCAGAACAATTCCTGAAGGCAGCAGAACCCCCTGAAAACAATCCAAAGTCGGCGATTTTTTGTGCTATTGAAGTCATTATCACGATGCGCGACCATCCGTCCCTATGGAGACTCAAACGAACGTTTCACACTGGAAGTGCTTCCCCCCCTCCGCCCCCCGCCCCCCCGTCCCCGCCCACCTGCCAGCTGGGCCGCGTCCCTCCGGTTTCACACAGCACGTTTCCTGTCTAACCTGCCTGCTGCAGCGCGCGCACGCAATGGGCCTCGCTGCACTACTCTCGAAATGTGCAAAACGAGAGCGAATCTTCCGCTAGAATACGGAAAGATACACCGCCATGAGTTCTGTCTGTTGTGCATGTCGAGAGTAGTGCAGCGACTCTCCAATTGTGCTCAATGAGAACAAATCTTCCGCTAGAACATGTGAAGATACACCGCCATTCGTTTTGTCTTTTGTGCATTTGGTGCGTAGTGGAGCGACGCCCAACGCTCGGCACACTGCCTCCGAAAATACCGGCGCCAATCGCCTTCCTCCTCGCTCCTCCGACTACGCGCAGAGGAAAAGAAAAGAAAAAAAATCGCACCAAAATACTGGGGATGCTCCCATTGCGGCCATCTCGAACGTATGTATGTGGCCCCTTTTCCGGCCGCATTCAGTCGAACAACTGCCGCACTCTGTTGTGAGTCTCAGCGCTAGAACACTGAAACAAACGAGAGCTAACAGTGCAACGAATCCGGCCCAACAGTCTGGTCGGGCGGTGGACAAACTTTCCGGTCGAGCAGAAAACCGACCGGTCGTCGCACAGGCTCAGTGACACGCCGTTCAGCGACTGACCACCTGCCCTGCTGCACCGGCGATTGGACATCGCGGCACTACACAGCACTCTCTACATGCATTTAGCCTCTTTCTGAACCAGATGCATTCGGACGAGTCCAACATTTTGAATGCGGGCGGTCGCGAAAGCGTCGAAATGCATGTAGAGTGCTGTGTTGTGCAGCAGCGCCCATTCTAGGTAGCAAAAAGATGATGCTCGCACACAATGCTGTCGATTTCCACCTGCTGAAATCTTCCATCATTCTATTTATATTTATTAAATCTTACGATGTTATATTACATGACATGTACATTGTACATACTAATGACATATTTACTCACACTAGGCCCCTTTATTTACTTATTTCTGGACGGAATCGCTGCCAGATACATCCGTTTCCGGCCGTATTTACCGTCACACATATGCATTCGGAAGAGTGGTTGTGAGTACTCCCTCATATTATATTATTATGTATGTTGATTGGTTTCCTTTCCTTCACTTCAAATCGCTCGTTCAAAAAAAAAATAAAAAAAATCGCTCGTTCCTCTCCCTTCTTCCATCGCGCTACAGCATCCCGCCGTCGCGATCCACCAACTTTCCCTTTCTTTCTTTCAACCTCTTTTTCTTTTCTTTTTGTTTTTAATTGGGACAAATCAATCTTTCAACTTTCCCCTCCCACCGCCCTACAAGAACCAGAAAGCAACTAAATAGTAAAACCCAAATTTCCCTTTTTTTTTTTTCTTTTTTCTTTTTTTTTCACAGAAGACATGCTCCAGTGTATTAGTGGGGAGCTGCACCCTTTCTTTCACCTTTCCTCTCCACACCACTCTCGAAATGGTGTTTTTGTTCTCTGGGGCCAAGTCCCACTTACGCTGATCCTTGATTTCTGGTCGTCGATCTTCCGAATCTGCGGTCAGAAATGGATCATTCGGGTAAGTGGGACTTGGCCACCTGGTTTTCTACAGAGGGATGGCTCGGGCTGGGGAGTTCACCCGAGGCCAGGTGCCGTCTGTTATTTTTTCCCTATTCTTTGCTATATTCATGTAAGCCTTGGGCACTGGGCCCGTTTGAAATAAAATTCCAAGGTTAAAAAAATATATTAAAAAAAAGGCGAAAAAGACAAAAATGTCACGGGTGCATCTGGCCATGTTCTAGCAGGAATTTGATTCTCATTTTGCACATTTCGAGAGTGGTGTTGGGAT